CCGGCCACCGCAGCCTCGCCTGCTGGGCTCCAGCGATCCTTCCACCTCAGCCTTCCGAGTAGCCGGAATTACAGGCATGCGCTACCACGCCTGCTAATTTTTTCATTTATTGTAGAGATGAGGTCTCGCCAAGTTGCCCAGGCGGGTCTCGAACCCGCGGGCTCAGGCAATCCACTCACCTCAGCCTCCCAAAGGCGCGGGATTACAGGCTGAGCCACCGAGCCCGGCTCTAGGTCTTATTTGATGGCGCACTTAGCCCAGCCCCAAGCCCCTGTTTGTTCCAGGCCAGAACCAGACTGTTTTGACTTCACAAGCTCCTAGGGCATTAGCATGGAAAGTACCAAGAAGCCAACCTGTTAGCTACCCCATTGTGCAGTTGGGGAAACTGAGGTCACCCAATTGGTCTCTGGAGAGAGGAGTCTCGAATGCAGTCCTCCCAACAGCGTGACACACCACGCTCAGAGCATCAAGTCCCAAATAACACTCTTGTGTTTTGTTTCTGGTCTTTTTTTGTAGAGTTGAGGTCTTGCTATATTTCCCAGGCTGGTCTCAAACTCCTGAGATCAAGCAATCTTCTTGCCTCGGCCTACCAAAGTCCTGGGTTTACAGGCATGTGCCACCACACTCGGCCATAACACTTGTGCTTACTGCTCTAGATGGACATTTCCCTCCTGCATCTTGCCCACAACCCTCTCCCAGCTAAGGATCGTGCGTCATCCTCTCCTCGGTGTTCCAGGGTACCTGGCACGGTGCCATTAATCCCATGGGACACATTGGCAAAGCCTGGGCCTGGGCTGAGCACCAGTTCCTCTCAGTGCCTCATTGGCATGAGACCATTTTCTTCTTCATTCCTGCCTCATTTATTCATCCCAGAATCAAGACGTGATTGAGGACCTACTACGCACCAGGCATTGGCTTCCCCTTCCAACCAACTATGCAACTGAGCGAGCTCCCTCCTCTCTCTGGGCCTCAGTGTCCCCATGTATAAGGTGTTATCTAGGCTGGGAATAGCCCATGTTTGGACAACTCATTCCCAGGTTGCCTTAGTCACGGAAAGTTACAGCAAGATGACCCAGCTGGGGGTTCAACTTGGCCTTCAGAACCTGAGAGAGAAGAGGAAATCCCCTTCACTCTTTCATACCTAGCCTCATCCTGCCTCTGTTTTGCATGCCTCTAGTGACACGAAGCTTGTTACGTACATACTTTTCTTTTCGCTGACAGGCCCCTTGAAGGGTCACAAAATCTTTCCTGATGTGGAAGTCTCTCCGGGCCTCCACCACCATCAAGATTCCAGGCTGAGTGACTCCTATGGCTACTCCTTCCTCTCCGAGAGTGTAAACACAGGGCCAGAGCATAGCCCTACACAATGAGTCCCTTCCTCAGGGAGTTAAGAGCCGCTTCTGCAGCAAGGAGCTCTCTGATTTAGTCCCGGGCCTCAGGCAGACGGTCTTTCCTCAACTTGACTGTGGTCTTTCCTCAGCTTGACTGTGTCCAGAGTCACCACAGGGCCAGGGGGAGTGTGAGCTATGAGTTTCCTCTGAGACTCAGCTGGGAATCTCTGAGGCTGGGTTCCTGTCAAATGGTACCCCCATTTAACAGAGCACCAACAGGCGCTGGGCCAAGCTCAGACAGCACTGTGCCTTTTTTGCAGCCCAGGTGACCAGTGCAGACCACTGCCTCCTTTTTGTATGGTTCTACACACTACAATTTATCACCCAAAGTTGCTAGGAAACATCACAGTCTTTGGCTACCTGTTGGAATATACATGCACACACATAGGGGTACCACATATGCACCTACCTACATGTGAATGCACAAATCCCTGTTGGACACATAGGTACACACATAATGTGCCCGTGAGTATACATGTTAGTACATGTGTGGTCATTCACATGAATGTATGTGCATAGATGCCAGGTACTCAATATTTCTCTCTCTCCCTCCCCGTCTCTCATCACTCTCTCTCACTCTTTCTCTCTCTTGCATACACATACACACATGCATGCACACACATACACAAACACACTCACTCACACATGCAGAACCTGTGGCCAGGGTGTTTAGAGGTCTGAGCAGATGACTTCATCCTGGGAGGAAGCTTGTGGAGACCTTAGCAGGCTGGGACCGTGGGGGCATCACTAGGGAAGTGACAGTCCTAAGAGTAGGGAGCAAACCCTGTCTACGCGGAACCAGGAGGACCAGGGAACCCCAGAGCAGGGACAAAGTCACCAACGAGCTGGTGTCTTGCCTGCTTCCCAGCCAAGGAGCTGAGTCTCCTGGCTCTTCTCTCCTTCAGCAGGGGATGAGTTCTGGGGGAAAAGAGAATGAGAGGAGGGATGTGATCAGATGCTATGAATCTCTGGCTCCCAAAGCAGGGCCAAGAGGCTTTGTCTGCCGAACCCATCTTGTCCTCTCTGCCTTCACTGCTCCCCTAACCAATGCTAAAACCAGGTCACATGATACCTCCTCTGGGAAGCCTTCCTTTGTCCTCTCCCAGACCATCCTGAACCCTCTCTCCCTTATGCTCCTCTCGGAGGATGCTCACCTCTCTCATTCACTTTCTGCCCGTGGCCTACCAGCCTGCAGGGATGTCACTTCCTTTCCTCTTCTCTCCCAGGTTCTGAAGGCCAAGTTGCAGCCCCCAGCTGGGCCACAATCTTGCTATAACTTCCTGTGACTAAGGCAAACTGGGACTGAGCTGTCCAAACATGGGTTATTCCCAGCTTAGATGACACTCTTGTACATGGGGACACTGAGGCCCAGAGAGGGGAGGGAGCTCGCCCAGCATTGCGTAGTTGATTGGAAGGGGAAGCCAAGGCCTCAGGAATTCTCAGGGCTCTTCTCTCCTTCCTCTGCCTCCAAATCCCCATTTCTCACTTACCTTCAGGCTCTTCTGGATCCATGTCTTTGACTCCCTGGCGGCTGTTTCAGAGGGTTTGGGACCAGAGGCCTTTTCTGTCTAGAGCTAGAGGTCAAAGAAACAGGCCCAAGCCTCCTCTACACAGGGAATCCTGGTGGGTGGGACACTGGTTCAGCTTTCCAAACTGCAAAAACATGCCTGGACTTTCATAGAATTCGGTGAGGTGTTTGCAACCTGACGGAATTTAAAGTGCTTAGAATTCAGTGGGGTTCTCTGAAGTGTGTCAGGTTTGGTAGACTTGGGAAACAGAGTGGCCAATAGTTTACCGTGGGCAACCAGGGACCCCCTGACCTGGGTAGCACCCAGCTCCATCCAGCCCAACAACCTTCAGGGGAGCCAGCAGGTCAAACCGAGGTGGCACCTTTCAAAGTTCTCTGAGCACCAAGAGATTGTAAAATCCCTGAGGCAATTTAGAGGGAGGAGAGGAAATGTGCCCAGCGTAGAAACTTTGGGGTGCTTCAGGGAAGTTGTCCCCAAGACCCAATTACACA